CCGTGTCTTTTAGATTATAACAGTGATTCAGGTTTGAGATTCGTGGCACATCATTTTCTTTGTATACTGGTTTTTTCCTTTACTGCTTTCGATTTTTGGCCACAGTTTTACAGCTGTTCTTTGGGCAACCAGTTGATTAAGTGAATAAGTGAATAAATAGCACGAGGCACATTACACACCTTTATTCATCAGTATGAATAAGTGACTAAGTGGGCACATTACACACCTTATCCCTTTTGATCTTCAGAAACCTCCAAGGCCTTGGAGCCAGCAGCCTGCCCTATGCTCAGCCAGGGATTAGGCGACAAGGCTTGAAGGGAGGGCCCGGCTCCTGGGAAAGTCCAAGGACGGGGACTGGAGCTCTGGGGCGGAATCAGCAGGCCACTCCTCTCTCCTCGCAGAGCCAGGGATCCAGAAGGTTTAAGGTCTTTGGAAGTTCACTTGCCCTTAAAAATGTCTCCTGGTCGATGCCTGGGGGGAATTCCTTTAATGGAGCAGAATCTTTCATTTCAACTCATTCTCCTGGGGCTTTTTACCTTTCTTGATCAGCCTTGATTCCCACCCCTGTCTTGGGGTGAGTCAGTGACCTTCCGAATTGTGGCTTACTCTTGTGTAAAAGGGAGAAGATATTAATACCCCTTTGGAAAGATTGTCCTGTGGTGCGGGTGGAGTTGTCCGCCGGAAGCTGCCATGACCTGAGACTTGCTGTGCAGCATCCCAAGGAAGTTTTCTGGCCGTTGTACACTGCTGGTTGTCAGGCTCTGCAGGAGCTGATTGCTGGAGAAGCACTGCCCAGGCCGCTGCGAGAGGCAGCTGCTGGAGGAACCCCTGAACCAGGAGGGGCACCTGCTCTCCAGCGCCCCTGCTGGTGGGGCTGACCGTGCCGGCTGACCAAGGAGATGCCCTTGAGGGCGATTGAGGGCCTGCCGCGCCTTCCACCCTTCACAGAGCAGGAGATGAGGGTAGCTCTGGGGCTGAGAGGCAGTCGTTGCTAAGGGCTTCCCACTCCCAGCCCCCTCAGGGCAGTCTGTGCCCCGGGGCTGGTGGACTCCCTGGGGACATAAGGACCTTAGAGAACTTGTCCTTCCTGCTGCGTTACATCCTCACAAAACACTTTGTTATTTCCTAACTGCAGTTTTTACCAATCTGGTGGGTACGATTTTCCCATGGGGTTGAGCACTTTTTCATATTTATATAGATTTGCCTTTTGGATATCTTATTAAATGTTCTTCACGTTTTTGGTTTTTAAATTTATTTTAGGCGAGGCAACCCTTGGTTGACCTCACAGACTGCAAGGACCTTGTCAGTTTATAATCCCTTATTTTTCAGTTTTTACGCCGACAGCACCTGGTCTTCCTAGGTGGTCTCCCATCCAAGTACTAACCAGGCCTGACCCTCCTTAGCTTCCAAGATCAGACGGGGTCGGGCTTGTGGGGTTTTTTAATGCCTCTTTTTCTATTGGATTGTTTGTCTTCTGAAGTGATTTATAAGAGCTCTTTTCATATGGTGTATATGTGAATCCCACGGCAATTATGTGTTCCATATCTTTTCCTAGTTTATAGTTGCTTTTTTTTTTTTTTTAAAAACCCAACTCGTGTCAAAATTTGAGAAAAAAATGTTCTTAATTTTAGTGTATTAATATTTTTCTTTACGGGTATTATATGTCTTGTTTAAAACTTTTTCTTATTCTGCAGTGTCTTTTTCTAAAATCTTTCTATTTTTATTCTTTTACATTTAAGTTAGTACATGGAGTTGAATTTACTGTGTTGTGTGAGCAAGGAGGCCAGTTTCCAATTTTCTGTACCCCGATACCCAATTATCCCAGCATTATTTTCGAAAAGACTGGTTTTCTCAGCTAGCTGCTGTTATGTCTCCGCCATTGTTTCTTGTGCTGGTCTGCCCTGCTGGTCCGTTTATTCCTGCTCCACGACCACACTGTATTTATCACCCAGTGCTAACTGTCTTGTGAGAGAAAATTCTCTTACCTCATTACTTTGACCAGCATCTCAGCTATCCTTGGCCCTTTGTATCTTCATTTTAGAGTCATCTAATCAAATTATAGAGCACTCACACAAACATGAACACATCCTCTGGTGTGTGAAGTCACACACACGCGCACACACACACCTTGTTGTAGTTCAGACCAGGACTGCATTTAATCTCTAGATAAAAACAGTCCTCTAACTGTGAACATGATAGAATTCTTTACGTAGTTCTGCTTTAATATATCTCAATCAGGTTTTAGAAGTACTTTAGTGGTGTTACATTAACATTTTTTAAGTTACATTGATGCTTTCCTAAAATTTTTGCTTTTTTTCTATATATTGGAAAACTATGGACTTTTTTATATTGACTTTGTATCTAGCAATGTTTATCAACTCTCATGTTGATTCAAACAACTTACACATTTAAAAAATATTTTCTACATTAGAAATGCCATTTCATCTGGTAGGTTGCGGTGACAGTTTAGTTTCTTTTCCAGTTCTTAACCTTGTATTTTTTTGTCTTGTTGACAGATTTTCAGTGGTGTTGACTGGGAATGGTAGCAGCAGGTACCTTCGCCTCATTCCCTTTCAAAGGGAACACTCTCTACAGCTGGCAGTTATAGTGTGTGCTGGAGAGTTTTGCTGATGCCCGTTTTTAGGTTATAGAAGCCCCCTTTTGTTCTTTCGTAGCTCAGAGTGTTTTTATGAGCCGGTATTACATTTTATCAACTGTTTTCGGTAGTATTTGAGATGGTCAGATATGATTTTGTCCTTTATAGGTTAATGTGGTCAGTTATAAATTTTATTTCTAATGTTAAAGGAGCTTTCGATGCAGATATAAATTCAACTTTGTCATGTTATATATTATTAGATTCATTTTGTTAATGTGTTGTTCAGTATTTTTTACATGAGATATTTTCCTTCCTGGTACTATTTGTGTTCTGGTCCGGGTCTCACAGTTGTGCCAGCCTCGTGAAGTTGGTTTGGGAATCTATTCTTTTTTAGTGTGTTCTCTGGAAGAGTTGCGTAAATTGGAATTATTTTCTCCTTGAATGCGAACTGGCCAGTGAAGTCATCTGGGTCAGGGGTTTTCTTTTTGGGAAAACATTTGACTACCAGTTCAGTTTTTTTTAATGGTTAGAGGAATCGTCAGGCTCTCCTAAATGTTTTACAGAATTCTTTACAGAATCAGTTTTAGTTAGTTATATTTTAGGGTTTTGTTTATTTTATTTAAGTTCTCAAAACAGTTTGACATATTTGAAATGTCTTCTGATTTTCTTTTTTTGATGACTGTAAGATGTGTGCCAGTGTCCTCTTTTACATTTCTGAAAATCTGTGTTATTTGTGCCTTTTCTCTCTTGATCAGTCGTCCCAAAGGTTGATCATTATTGAGCTTCTTGAAGAATCAAATTTTGGGCTTGTTGATATTCTCTATTTTAATGATTGTTTTCAATTTAAATAATTGATTCCTCCTCATCTTATTCTTTCATTTTTGGGGGGTTATTTTGCCATCTTTTTAATAATTTCTTCAAGCAAATGTTTAGCTCATTTATTTTCATTCATCTTTCTCAGCGTATGCATTTTAAAGGTATCCATTTCCCTCTATGTATTGTGTCACCTGCATCTTAAAAGTTATGGTTTGTAGTATTTTTGTTAACATTCAGTTTGAAATATTTTATTTTCATTATGATGTCTTTTTTGATGTCATTATGGTGTCCCCATGGGTTGTTTAGACGTATATCTCTTCATTTTAAACATGGGGGTTTTTCTGACTGTTTAGAGGATTTATTTGCAGAGTGGTAAGTGGTCGCTATCTGTACGTCGATTCTTTAAAATTTGTCGAGTCGTCTTTTGCCCCATTATGTGAAGTACTGTTTTACAGTATGCGATACGTCTTTGAGAAGACTGCGTGTGCTGCAGTTTTTTTTAAAAAAAACCTCCCTTTTTATTAATCAAATTAATACACGAGCTCCCAGGTAGAGCTTCTGATAAGCATGAGGTAACACTCCTACCACGTTAGGTTGCTGCAATCTCAGAGAAAAGTCCAGCATGGTGATCCTTGATGCTTGTGTAACTCTGATCAAGTCGCCGACAGCCTCTGGGGCCCTGGCTTCCTGTGGTCTGTAATGAGGGCGGATGTACCGGTCTCAGGAGCCGTGTTCTCGGAAGGGTTTGTGCACCAGGCGTGTGCTCACGGTTTCCATGTAGAGTCTGTGACCGCAGAGGCAGACGCGCTTCCATTTACAGTCTGAGAAGTTGACTTTGTACAACAACGTCGTATCAGGTCCACGTCGTGCGCCGGCTGAGAGCGTGGCCCGGCCACATGCTCAGCGCGGTTCCTGAGTAGTTCACAGTTTGTCCTCACGGTGACCAGTAACTACACGGCGTCCCCGTCATGTGACGAGGAGTTTGGGCCTTATACAGGTTAGATCACTTGTTTGGGTCCATGATAAGTTGGAATTGAGCCTAGGTCTTCGTTCTTTCGTTTGTTCGTTCGTTCGTTTGTTCGTTCTTTCGTCACTAAACAGTTCTGTTGTTCCTCAGAAATTTTTCTTTAATAGACTTTAATTTTTCGAGCAGTTCCAGGTTCGCAGACTGGAGAAGGTACAGAGATTTCTGCTTTATCTCCTGCTCCACACCCGCACAGCTTGTCAACATCTGGCACCGAAACAGTTCATTTATTACAATGACAAATCTACACTGACACATGATCCCCTAAAGTCCGTAGTTCACATTAGGATTCACTCTTGGTGTTGAACGTTCTGCAGGTTCAGGCAAATGTGTAATGACGTGAGTCCACCTTTACAGTGTCACACAGAGTAGTTTCAACTGCCCTCAAAACCCTTGTGCTTTGCCCGTTCGTCCCTCCCTCCGCGTAGGCCCTGACAGCCACTCGTCTTTTTGCTGTCTCCATCATTTTGCGTTTTCCAGAATGTCACGTACCTGGAATCGTACGCGATGTAGCCTTTTCACATTGGCTTTTTTTCATTTGGTGACATGCACTTGAGTTATCTCTGTGTCTTTTCATGGCTTAACAATTTCTTTTTAGCGCTGAATAATACTTCGTTGCCTGGACATATTACAGTTTATCCGTTCACCGAGGATATCTTCGTTGCTTCCAGGTCTTGGCAGTTACGAGTAAAGATGCCGTGAACATTTGTTTGCAGGTTTTTGTGTGGATGTAGTTTTCAGTTTTTTGGGTAAATACCAAGGAGCACGATTGCTGGATTGTATGCTGAGAGCATGTTTAGCTTCATAAGAAACTGCCAAACTGTCTTCCAAACCGGTCGCGCCATTTTTCATTGCCACCAGCGTCGAACGAGAGTTCCCATTGCTTCTCACGTCCTCACCGGCATCTGTTGTTGTCAGCATTCTGGATTTCGTCCAGTCTTCTGCAGTTTTATTTGGCGAAATATTCTAACATACCAACAACGTTATCATTAAGTCTAATTCAGATCTTTAAAATATACTCTTTTTGTTTACTTGTTCCGTGAGTTACTGAGCAAGGTATATTGTAATCGCCCAATTTAACTGTAGATTTTTCTTTTTATACTTCTGTCAGTTTTGCGTGTGTGCTTGTGTGTGTTTGAGGCCGTGTTATTAGGTCGTTCTAATTTAAAATTACTGTAGCTGTCTGGTGAATTCAGTCATTCTGAAATGACTTTTTCAAGAAATCTCCTGTGACACTTTTTGCCTTAATCGTTAGCCTTAAGGTTTGTTATGTCTGATTTAAGTGGTCTCTGATGGTCTTTTTAGGCTGGTGTTTGCCTCGTGTATCTTTTTACCACACTTTAACTTTTCAGTACGTCTGTAATCTTAAGTTTCAGATGTCTGTCTTAAATAGCCCGTAGTTAAATTTTTAAAAATCCAGTTTAAGAGTTTAATTGGAGCACGTATTCCAGTGATATTTAATGTAACTACAGGACTGTTTATGCTTATCTTTATATTTATAATCTTTTTAAGAAGTGAATTTTATAGAATACATTGTTGTGGTAAGGCGTGTTAATATTGTCACACCCAAAGGTCCATTGTGACAAGAGACCTTTGTAATGGAAAGAACCTAGCAGAAACCCCGTGGGGAATATTTCTTATTAAGATGTATTTATTCATTGTGTTAAACTTTTTTAAATCTCATCTTTTTCACTTTTACAAATTCTCAGCTTTTCGCTGCGGCCTGCAGTTTTTGGGCAATATCGCCTCACGGAATGAAGCGTCCCAGTCTGCCGTTTGGTTGCATGCTTTCCCGGAACTCTTTTTGTGAGTATATTGATGCGAGTTTTCTACCTTCGGAAAGGGTTGTGGTTCTGTCATTTCATTTACATGCAGTTCCGAAACAGGAATAATGACCCTTCGGTAACAGGCTCGAGGGCAGTGATTTCCATGGTGGCGGCAGCTCAGCTGGCTGAGAGAGGGCGCTGGGTTCGGGGATGTCCCTCATCTTGGTCTAGGTGGCGGTTACTGCGTAGGTGTGTCCCCATCTATAAGTTTATCGAGCCGTACACTTAAGATATGTGCCCTTCATTGGATGTCAGTTCGACTTGAAGAAAACGGAAGTTTTGGTTAAAGTAAGAAATATTAAGGACATTATGATTTATAAGAACAGAATTTATAAGACAATAAGAAACAGGCCATAAACACTAAAGTAAGGGCCACGAGTTAATCGCTCGTCGGCTGTCAGGCTCTTCGTTCGCTCCGCAGCGCCGTGCGTTTCGGTAGCTGTGGAGCGTGAGGGCAGCGGCACCCACCCGCTTCGCTAGGCTCGTTCGCGGTACTTTGCCTGGCGAGCTCCCGCTTTGTGCTGAGCGGCTGTTAGTCTATGAGAAATTGAGCGCTGAGAGCAAAGCTGGAGGCAGGATGGGGAAGAGACAGGCCCTGTGCGAGAGCGTGGGCCCGGCTTCCAACCCCAGCTCCGTCGCTGCCGAGCGGGTTATCCGCAGTATGTGGTGTTCGCATCAGTTGACTCTCATGTTATTTCTAGCTCACTGAGTCTATAACTGCCACTCCAATTCCTGCAGATAATTAGAATTGAAGGCATTTATCTGCCTGTTATGTTTATGATTAATAATTGAGCTTAGGCGGAAGGAAAGAATTGTCGAATTCTAGCTGCACAAATAGAAATTACTTCTTATTGGAGAATTCATTCCTTTGAAACGTATTGGGCCCCCTAACGTCTGCCAGGTTCTGGGCCAACTGAGTGGAACACAGAACTCCCGAAGAGCTCATGCTTTGGTGCGGGGGGTGGAGGAACAGGTGAAGGAACAGGTGAGCACCTGTTGTGTATGAACTGGTGTAACTAGCCAGATCCAGGTGCCGTAGAGACAGAGCGGAGGGGCCCTCGGGCAGCCAGTGCGGCGCCCAGTGCTCTGCGTGCATTATCACATCTCATCCTCACAGAGGCCCTGGGCGGTGGGCCGGGCTGGTCTCGTTATCTCGGTCCATTTTTATGTCAGAAAACACACTGGGAGAGGTTAGCGACGTCACTCTTCCTGTGTTTCTGAGGCAGATATAACCAGATCAGGACTCCAGCTCTGGCTGGTACTAGCTCTGTATCTTTGGGCAAGTAAAGCAGTCCGTCAACACAGTCTTTATCTATAGCATAAGAATAGTTCCTCCTCCAGAAGAGTGTTATGAAGTTTAAATGAAAAATGAAATTCTGCTATAGTGCAAGACCCATCACATAATTGGTCACCTTTCTAAGATCATGTCGCTGGTGGGCGGCGGAACCATGACTCGCACTGAGGGTCTTGACTCCAGGTGCTTTTTCTTGCCAGTGTAACCATCTTTCCCTTAGACAGTCTGTCCCACGTAACTGTTAATGGATACTTTGTGTTCGACTAATTCTGTATTTGCTGTTTTTACAGTAAATAATGTACTTGTTTCAGAGCGTTGTAATTCTTCATTAAATCTTTAAAAAAGAGTATGTACTGAATTCGTTAATGGGATTGTTATTTATGTGCTGTAATCATTGTGCCATGTTGTTAAATTGGGCTAACACTTTCATTTCTTTATTCGGAAGGTCTTGTTTAAATCATCCAGACAAAAAAATTGTTTCCTACTCCTCCATGATTTTGTTCACTTCCCTGAATTCTGCAAGAATGAAAGACCTGGAAGAAAACCTCAACATCGCAATCAACGTGGTGGAAGCTCATTATAAGCAGCCCGAGTCGGAATGGCCGTAAGTGTCTCATTAGAAATGTAGTTGCTCCCAAACATTCTGACAGATGCTTTCTTAAGAGGTGCTAAGAAAAATTTGAGTTAGAATAATCGAACACAAGTAAAAACGTCATACGTTGACAGAATAGGAAAAGTTTCTCTGCAGACTCTGGAGGCCTTGTGAAAGGGGGAGTGAGGTTGGGTTGGGCCTTGAAGGGTGAGGGGATCCACGTGTCCTGGAGACAGAGGAGGGTCCCTTGGACGACGCTGCAGGCGCTCAGAGGAGTCGGCAGAGTGTGCCTGGTGCTCTCCGTGCTTGTCGCATCTCATCTCGCAGAGGCCCTGTCAGTGGTGGTCCACGCAGCCTCAGTCACCGCAGCGTGGAGGTGCGTGGATCAGGCTGTTGTGGCTGCGGTGGACTGTTCGTTAGAGATTAGGGTGGTGTGTGTCTTGTGGGCATCCGTCCAGATGAGAAATGCACTATCGTGTCATGTCATTGTGGTTGCTGAGCATGCTTTACATAATTTTATTGTTTTAAAATATATCGAGTCCTGTTTTATGGCCTAACATCTGGTCTGTCGTGGAGGATGTTCCATGTGTATTCTGTTTCTGGTGGAGTGTTAGGTCCAGTTGGCTTATTGTGTTTAAGTAAGTCTTCTGTTTCCTTGATGGTCTTCTGTCTAGTTCTGTTCACCACGATCTATTTCTCGTTTTAGATCTGTCCATTTGGCCTCACTTATTTTCGGGCTTTGTCGTGAGTTACATATATGTTTGTGATTGCTATGTGTTCTGAGGAATTGATCCTTTCATCATTATAAAATTCACCAAAATTTTTGTTGTTTTTCTTTATTAGTGCTCGTAATCTGTTTTCTTTAACGTCTGTTTTTACGTCTGTTTTCCATATGGTGGTCAGTGTATTTAGGACAGATCGTCTCTAGGTGGGGAGCCTTGAGCTACCAGTAATCCCACTTGCGTGTCACAGGTGAGGTATGAACTTTCCCAGTTTTGTCGTCTTTTAGTGTGAACTGGATTGTTTGGTTGAAATTGAACCTAATTTTAAAATTATTTCTATTTCTGAACATTCATTTATATTTGAATTACCGTTTGTATAACAGAAGTTCAACTTAGAAAACCTCTCTGAGGATGCAGATGTTTTTAACATGATGCTTGAATCATTAGAGTCAGGTTACCAAGAGGAATTTTCTGTAGCTGAATTCTGTTTTATTTGTTAAGTGTCTTAAATCTATATTTTAACGATCTGCAATTTTTTTAAAAGCGTGAAATAAAGGGCAAAAGGTCATAAAGGGCAAAATATAAAATCTGCTTCAGAGTAGCACTGAAGTTAAAGTTCTCAGAGGTCACCAAATGGGATTAGACAGGAAAAAGGAGGGGCATAGTAGTTAACTGATGTCTTCTGCAGTCTGTATGCTGAATGCTTGGATTTACATGAGAGGAACTCTGCATTTGGTAAATAAAAATGAGACCACAAAATATCCAGAGGCGTCCAACAAAATTTTTACTTTTCACTGTTAAATATGAACTCAACCCTGAAAATTAGAGAAAAAACCCACTTTTTGCCCTAGCACTCCCAGCATTATGCGATAGTCAACAAAGACGACAAAACTTCATGGTGTTAGAATTCATGGGTTAGAATCTTTTCTTGGAAAGAGACAAATGTCAGGTTTCAATGACTTTGGGTCTTTTTGTTTCAGTCCCCCAGAAACAGGAAAGTGTAGGCGAGGAAGGCTTTGGCACTACTCCGTTTGAATTATTGGGATGATGTCCTTCTAAAAATGTTTGTTCTATTTGTTTGTAGGTGTGAAAGATGTTTTCATGCTCTTAGATAACCCTGGATGAATCCAAGGGTTGAATTTTGGCATTTGAATCCATCTGTATCTGACAGCCCAGTACACGTGCCTCAGGAGGTTAGAAAGGATCAGGCAGGGTCAGTGTGGGATACACAGGAGGGGACAAAGTGGGGTGCCTGTCTGCCCTGAGATGTGCGGGGTGTGTTGTGTACGGGACCTCGTTTTCCTGGTCATGCCACCCTGTGATTGTATTTTGCCACCAGTTACGGATGAGAGTCTGCGACTTCAGCGGGTTTAACCAGCTGGACCAAGGTCACAGAACTAGTGCAGAGAAAAGGTGGTCGAAAGGGATGACGTGTACTTAAGAATTCTCAGTTACGGGGAGGTATGAGCTCCTTCAGTTTCGGCCTCTTTCAGAATAAACTTTATCATTCTTTGAACTTATACGCATTATCGCTATACAGAAATTCTATAACCGTGAGTAGAGTATTATTTTTTGTTGGTATTTGGGTTACCTAGTTGATTTATTTTGCATGACAGTTTCACTCCCAGACTGATCGATGTCCCTGTGTTCTAGGGATGTCTCTTGCGTTATCCCTGTAAGTTTTGCTATTTCCTTAACTGTAGAGATAGTAGGAAGGTAAATATAATTGTCCTCCTTTTTGCGGTTTGAATCTGTGTCCCCTCTTCTGTTCTCTCTGAGTATCCCGAGCACTCAGATTTCATGGCATCTAACACTTGTCCCTTCACCTGTGAGCTTCCCGATCGCAAGATTCAGCGTTGTTTGTTATTGGAACCTTTACAAGGTACCGGCAGCATGGTGGGCGTTGTGTCAGTCACGCGTCTTCTGAATCCGAGTGGCCGAAGCCCAGCGCAGATAGCACGTGTGCAAAAGGGACTTCATTGGCTTGCTAACCGAGAGGCCTGGAGTCACTGGATTTGTAGGCACAGTGGATCCCAGGCCCGAAAGGCCTCATGGGGGAGCTCACTCTGTCTCATCCGTGTCTCCTTTTCCTTCTCTGCTGGTTTCATTCAGGCACTCTTTC